CCGGGCCGTGTCCCTGGTCCCCGTGCATCGCGTGAGCCCCCGCTCCCCGGCCCGCGCAACCCTGCTGGCATGGACGTACACACCCGCTGGAAAGATGCGCTCCCGGGCGCCCCGCTGCTGTCCCCGCCGCTGCTCCTGCTCCTGCTGCTGCTGTGGGCGCCGCCTCAGAGCCGCGCAGGTAGGGGTCCTTTGGACGCGGGGGACCGGGCCTCAGGAACTCTAGAACGCGCGCAGAACGGCCGCGCCGCTGTCATCCCAGACGCTTTCGCTGCTGGCTTCCTCCGAGCCTGCAGAACTTTTCCCCTTGGCCTGTGGAATGCACCGGCAAGACAACGAATACCATTCGTTGGGGGCCCGGGAGAGGGAGCCGGGCCAACTCCATCCCCATGGGCGTACCTCCCCCTCCTCAAACGGGCCAGACGGGTGGGGCTGTCGCGCGAGTCAAGGAAGAGTCTGCCTCGTTTTAGATCGAGCGGAGGTGGTCACACTTTTGTCCCCAAACCTCACATTCCCTGTCCCACATCACAGGCGACCCGCTGCATCCCACGCAGCCCTTCAGCAGAAACTTCCCTTTTGAAAGCTGGGAAGGGCCGCCCCCTAGAGTCAAAGCCATTCAATTCCTCAGGGACTTCTTGGGGTGAAGGGGATCCCAGAAGTTTGAATCCCCTGCGTTGGACTTTCCTCGGAACACACCCTCCCGCTTGTCTGGGCTGATTCTCTGCTTTCTCAGGAGACGGGGTTCCCTGCAGTCCCCGCCAAGCGTTCAGGGGGCACTGTGGAGCCCTGTATTAGGCCAACTCTGCTCCTAATCTGACCACAAACCTCCTAACCCTTTAGAGGTAGTTTTCTTGGGCTCTCTGCCCAAAGATGGGATGAACGGGGAGCCAGGCCAGGAGAGGGCCTTGGAGTCTGGTCTGGGAGCTGCTCAGATGATCTGCAGATGTGAGACTCCTCCTCTCAGGATGGGCCTTTTCGAAGGATCCCCTGATCCCTTGGGAGGAATCAGAGAGGCACTGCTTGTCCCTGTCTGGATTCCAGCACTTCCAGGCTCACGTCTGGGAAGCAATGCTGTTCTCAGCATCACTTTTTAACAAAAGTGGGAGAAACCTCCCCAGACCCCTAAACACCATAGCCCGGGAGGGGGGGAGGGAGGCATCTGGCCATGCACTGATAGGGCAAGAGAAGGTGGTTAGGAGTTCAGGCAGCAGAACAGTGTGGACTGGCCAGCCCTTGTCCAGGACAAGGCTTTTCTTAGCTGGTGCTTCCAGAACTAGTGAGAGAATCATTTTCCATGCTCCATGGCCAATTAGAATATTCTTCTTCTGCTTCCTGGCACCATTAGTGTCCAGTGGGTACATGATATAAGCAAGAGTAGGAATGGAAGGGACTCCAGGGCCTCGGGGGACAGAGGGAGAGCATGGCTGATTCCTACTTTACTGTGACTTGGACCAGCTGACCTGGGTTTTGCAGAGTTCGGTTTTAAGTAGAGGATGATGGAGGCCCAGAAAAGTGGAGGAGGGACAGGATGGGGTTAGCCTCCCACCTTCTTCCCACTCCCGCAGTGCTCCCCTGGTACTTAGCCCTGCCCAACTCCTCTAGTGGGGTTTCCCTAGAACCTCAGGAGGGAATCCTTAGTGGAATCTTCATCTGGACAAGCTGGGGTTACCACGCTAGGTGGTAGGGCATTCCTGGCATCAACCATTTGCTCCAGCTCTGCCCTGCCCTGTGGCCACCCACTTCTCTGCTTCACTCCATCACTGTGCTATGTCACCCCCACCCCTGTGTCCCTTTGCTGTTGAGGGTGCGGCCACTTGGAAGGGGCTGCCTTGGTCCTGGATGTGGTGTTAGACATTTTGCTTTGGACAAAAGAGTTTTCAAAGCATGCAAAGAAATTGCATTTCTGGGTGGGCTCCAGGAAGCTTTCTCTTGCTCGTGTGTGTGTGTGTGTGTGTGTGTGTGTGTGTGTGTGTGTCAGAGGGCACTTTGAAATCATTCCTCACTGCATGGCTGGAGGGGCAGCAGCCCATTTTCAATGCTGGTAAGTCAGGAGAAAGTGCAGGCAGACCCTGCTCTGCTCTTCTCTCCCTCTCAGGATCTTCCAGATGCTTTCCGAGTTTTCTATGAGCACAGTTCTGCCTCCTTCTTGGCCAAGTGTGTGAAGGAGTGAGAAGTCAGATTGTACTGGGAGCTGCTATAAGTCTTAACGGGGAGGGGGGGTAATGGGAAATGAAACGTGACCCCAATATTTGGAAATTGAGGTCATCTCCTCCACGTGCTATTGGTGGGCTCGAGTCACATGACTGCTTTTTGCAATAATTTGCAGGGCAAGGCAGCCAAGTTTTGTGAAACTTGACAGATATTGAATGGTTAAATTTCCTGTGACTCAATGAGTTGGCTACAGGGACATCCTTGGGCCCTCCCTCCTCGCTCCTCCCTCCATCCCTCCTTCACTTTCACCACAAAGTCCAGTTGGTGGAGGAACTCAGCCCCCTGTGGAAAGCCCTGTATCTGGCAGGGTGTATTATTTTGGCTTCAGGGTTGGAGTTATGGACCCTCTCCAGTTGTTATTACCCAGCTGTGGCAGTAGAGTCCTCTCCTGGGGTTAGCTCACAGCCTCTTCTCTGATGATGATGTCCTGGGGGCTGGCCCTGCGGTGCTGGCCAGAGACTGCCTCTCCACCCCACCCTGTAGATATTTCTGGATGCTCCTCATAGCCACACCCGTAGCTGAGACCAGCTGATGCCCGCTGCCTGCCCCTTCCTTTGGCTGTAATCCTCTTTCTCCATTTTTTAACTCCTGGCTGTATTAGCCTGTGCCCTCATGTGGGGTTACAGTTACTGAGTAGAGAAGGGATTATAAGGCACTAACCTGGTCCCCCCATGGCACATCAGGGATGGTAAGTGGCACCTCGTGTACCAGGGAAGCATTATTTCCCCACTCCAGGACACTGCTGTAGTGTCGGCTTGTCCAACCCACTCATCGATGGCTCTGGACAGTTAGCACTGGTGGCTAGTTTGCTGTTACCCGCCTGCACAGAAGTTCAGCAGTGGATGAGCAGAACCTCTGATCACCTGTCCAGAGCCCGGAGTGAATGGCTACCCCCCTGCCTGGCTCCAGCCTAGGCATTCTGTTCTTTGATTTCACACCCATTTCTTAGCTTTCCCCTAAAAGAGCCAGTAACCTGGGCTATAGTCCCAATTTGGGGGCCCAGTCCAAGCAGGACCCCAAGGGACAGATGGGGTGTTCAATTGGGCCAATGCAAATTTTACTCTTTCCTTCTGCTGCATCTCTGCCTGCATTTTCCTTCTCTCCTCTCATATGCCTGTCCCTTCATCTTCTGCCATCCCTCCATCTCCTTCCTTTCTATCTCCTTTTGGAGGTATGTGACCTTCTGAAGGGACTCAGTGGGTGTCAGTCTCCTCATGTCCTTTTGGACCACCCAACTACTTCACTGTCAGTAGAACCTTCAAGTGCCACGGGCTTTTAGCTAGCACTTGGCCTGGAGGTTCTGGGGGCAGTGGTGAAGGGGTTTCTGATTCCCTCTGACACCAGACATCTTCTTTCAAGTTCTTAGGCTACCTCGGACATACTGGGCCCTGTGGGATCATCTTGGAGGATATCTCCATGGGGGTCCCTGATGGTCTGACCCTGACCCCGTTTACTTTTCATTCCCCCTCCCCACTGTGTCCTCTCCCTTTGGCTTTCATCTTGCTCTTGTCCCTCCTTCCTAGTTGGATATTCCAAACTTATCCCAGGGGGTTCATCCTGGGCCCTCTCCCTTGCCTGGAAAGCCCCTCATTAGTGGGTTGGCAGGTCCCCAGTTCCTGCCTGCCTTAGTGACCCTACACCAGGAGAACAAAAATGCTACTGAAAGAGGACAAGTGGGGGTCTCCAGAACTTCGATAACTTTCTCTGGTATCCTCATCCTGTTCACGATGGGAGGCAGGACCTGGCACTGTGTTAGCAGGATATGATATAGACCAGATAGGCTTTGGCTTCGCCTGTGGGAACTGTTGATGATCTGTGGGGGACATTCCTTGGTGGTGAGGTTGCTTCAGCTCCAAGGATGTGCACAACCGAGAAGTCAGCATGTCCTGTTGTTGTCTCTGAGGTTGAGGGGCTAGCTAGGCCAGGATGAGTCTCTGTGCTTCAGTTTTTATTCCTGAAAAATGGAAAGACTAGCATATGTCACTCTGAGGGGGCCTGAAACTGACTGGGTGGCTCAGCAAGTGCCTCTTAGGAAGTGACTTAGGCTTGGAGATGCAGGACCATATCACAAGCTTCGCCCTGTAGTAATTTGCAAAAAGAAAGGGTCCCCCAAATCCTCTTGGAACATCAAGATTCTAAAAGCTTGGGGAGGGGTGCATATGTGCAAGGAGGTACCATGCAGCTCCTGTCTTCCTGCCCTGGCCTTCATCTGCATGTGGCACAGGGCCCAGCTCCCTCATGGTGGTATTGTAGCCACTTGAGGAGTGTGTATGAAGGCCCTGGACAGGTCAGTTCCAGGTTTTTTTTTTCATGGTTTTTTTGTTATGTGCACATCAGGCTGCATGTGTGTGTGTAATGTTCTTGCCCATGTGGTTCCTATGTCCCTGTATGTGCTTTATGCCTGCATGTATGAAACGATTGTAACTGCACATATGTTTGGGAATATGAAAGCACACACATGCGTATGTGTTTCCACAACTGTGCACAATGGGAGGTGAAGAGATGCTCATGGCCCTGGAGCCCTGGAGCTCCTGGTGACCACAGGCCCTGGGCCCTGCCACAGAGTGGACTCACCCACAGGTTCCCCCCAGTTTGATGAGGAGAGCTATGTCATCTGACACATCTCTATCTAGTTGTATTCTCCTATGTAATCAGCTCATCTGCTGTCAGCACTTTGCCAGATGCTTGTAGCAATTCTCGCCCAGCTCTTGGATGTGCTGGGATACAATGGGTGGAGCCTGCCCAGGTCCTTCTCATAGGTCATTTTGCAGTTACTGTGGGAGATGGAGTAACAAGTGGCTTGGGTGAGGCAGTCTGCATGTCTTTCCTGGTTCCAATTCTTCCCAGCTGGCCTGGGCCTCAGTTTCCCCACTTATGAGCAGATGAATGTGGCAACTACAGCAGATTCTTGTGAAAGCAATACATGGTCATGTAAAACATAGACAAGCTCCATGATCTCTGTTATGATCC